GTGGTCAAGGCCCCGGGGGCTGTGCCGCTGCCGCTCAGGGCCCCCTCCGCGCCGGCTGAGAGCTCTGGCCAGGGCACGGAGGGCGGCCGCAGGGGCAGCGGCGGAGGGGGTCAGGGGCTGTGTGGGCAGAGACTTAGAGAGAGAGGGACTGGGGCACGCTCACGAACAGCATCACCTCGCGTCTTAGGAAGCCTTCCTGACCACTTCCTACTCTTTATTCCTACACAGTCCAGATCTGTTTGGTTTACTGTCTGTTTTCCTATTCTCGAAGGTTGGCTCTATGAGGGTGGGACTGTCATATTCATTCCTCCCTCCCAGTGCCCGGGGCAGGGCCGCACGTGGTAGGCTCCTGAGGGAGCTCACATGGCTCACCCTGCAAGTATACCGTCAGAAGGTTTTCTGGCCACGTTCATGGCCCCAGGTTTCCTAATGATGCCGTAACCGGCCCTGACAGAAACCTCCAGAAGTTGGGTGTGGTTTAACAGAGTGAGATTACGGGATTTTCCAAGCTGTCTGCTAAAATACCTCGTGGGATTTTTCAGAGTTCAGAAGTCTACAGGGCCCACATCAGCTTTGCAAGTTCCTTCCTGTCTCCCTCCTTTGCCTCCTAGGTTCCCGTTCAGCCGCCCGGAGCTGCTGAAGGAATGGGTGCTGAACATTGGCCGGGGCAACTTCAAGCCCAAGCAGCACACGGTCATCTGCTCCGAGCACTTCCGACCTGAGTGCTTCAGCGCCTTTGGAAACCGCAAAAACCTGAAGCAGAATGCTGTGCCCACAGTGTTCGCCTTTCAGGACGCCGCGCAGGTGAGCACACCGGGGACTGCCCAGCACGCGGGGCGGGGGCGTTTGTAGGGACAGCAAAGGTGGAGGCTGAGAACGAGCGAGCGCACAGTGCTGTCAGGCCTCCAGGGTTCAGAGCCCAGGGGCCCCACTGGCCGTGACCTTTGCTTTAGGTAATTTGCAGTTTGGAGCCCCTTCAAAAATGGATCACGCTTGGGGCGCCTGGGTGGCCGAGTTGGTCAGGCGTCCGCCTTCGGCTCAGGTCATGATCTCATGACCTGTGGGTTTGAGCCCCCACGTCGGGCTCTGCAGTGAGCGTGGAGCCTGCCTGGGATTCTCTCTCTCCCTCTCTCTCTGCCCCTCCCCCGCTCTTGCTTTCTCTCTCTCAAAAATAAATAAAAACTTAAAAACAAATATATATATATATATATTTGCGACCAGAAGCTGTTGAAGCAGCTGACTGGTGGGTGTGCCAAAAAGCTTGGTCCTCGATGCGTTTCACGTGTGCTGGGCTTGAGGCTGCACGGTGAGGACCTTCCCAGGGCTGGGTGGCCGCTGTGTTACATTCAGACCTCACCCTTTTGTTGTTTTTTTTTTTAAGTTGATTTTGAGGCGGGGCGAGGGGCAGAGAGTGAGAGGGAGAGAGAATCCCAGCCGGGCTCTGTTCAGCACAGAGACAGATGCGGGGCTCGAACTCATGAACCGTGAGATCATGCCCTCAGCCAGAATCAAGAGTCAGATGCTGAACCGACTGAGCCACGCAGGTGCCCCTCGACCTAGTCCTTTCCTTCCGAGTGGCCAGACAGAATGGCCAGACGGGGCCTGAGAGCTGTGGTCAAGGCCCCGGGGGCAGTGCCGCTGCCACTCAGGGCCCCCCCCCCCCCCCCCGCGCCGGCTGAGAGCTCTGGCCAGGGCACCGACGGTGGCCACAGATGCAGTGGCGGAGGGGGTCAGGGGCTGTGTGGGCGGAGACGTAGAGAGGGACTGGGGGGCACGCTCGCGAACAGCATCAGCTCGGGCCGGTCGGGGGGTGGCAGGGGCCGGATGGTGCCGGGCCTGGATAGACCGTGGCTTGTTGGGGGAGGCGAGTGGGGACGTGGCTGTGGCAGGCTCCCTCCGGCCCGGGGCCTGTGGTGTCGCAGGGAGGTGCAGGTGGTCGCGAGAGCACGTGGACTCTGCAGACCCAGGAGGTGGGGCGGGGGGAGGGCAGCGCTTGCCGAGCCCCTGGAGGGTGGGGCTCCCGGGTGAGGCGGGCCCTGTGCACCCGGAGTTTGATTTCCCGGCGAGACACCGAAGGGCCGTGCCTGGTGGCGCGGGACGTGCAGGTTCGGCTCAGGAGAGAGCTCGCGGACCTTGGGACGTCGCGGCCACGAGGGGGATTATACTGAACTTCATAAATCCCAGAGGTGTCCCGAGTCCCGGAGTGTGGGCCGCACAGCGGGCACCTGTGTGAACCGGGAAGGCAGGGTTGTGGCGGAGCAGAGCCGAGGCCGACCCACCCGACCGCTACGCGTGCAGCGGCTGCTCCTGGGAGCGAGAGGGAAGGGAGTTACGGGGTGAGGACGCGTGAGCCCGTGTGTGGCCGTGAGCCCGGCATGCCCCGCGTCGGGGCCTCTGCCCTCACGTGCCCTGGAGGGACCTCCGGCCGCCGTGTCCGTTGCCCCCCACTGGCCTTCCTTCCCTTTGGGCCGGCTCCCTCGGGCACCACCATCAGCTGCCGCACTCGGTTGAGGGCAGGGATTTGTTTCACCAAGACTGTGGCCTGAACAGACTAGGTTTTTTCTTTTTCTTTTTCTTTTTCTTTTCTTTCTTTCTCTTTCTTTCTTTCTTTCTCTTTCTTTCTTTTTCTTTCTTTCTTTTTTCTTTCTTCCTTCCTTTCTTCCTTTCCTTCCTTCCTTCCTTCCTTCCTTCCTTCCTTCCTTCCTTCCTTCCTTTCTCTCTCTCTCTCTTTCTTTCAAGTTTATTTTTAGAGAGCGAGAGCGCGAGCTGGCATGAGCGGGGGGTGGGGGTGGGGAGGGAATCCCAAGCAGGCCCCCGGCTCATCACGGAGCTGACGCGGGGCTCGAACTCACGAACCCCGAGGTCATGACCTGAGCCAAAACGAAGAGGCAGACACTTAACCGACTGGGCCACCCAGGCGCCCCACAAAGTAGGTTCTCCATGCGTGTCTGTTTTTTTTGTTATTTCAGCATGGAAGGCCGTTTATTTTTGTTTGATATATAGTCAATTTTGACTGGTAAGAACACTTAACGTGTGATCTACTCTCTTGACAGACGTAAAAAAAAATTTTTTTTTTAACGTTTATTTAATTTTGAGACAGAGAGAGAGCACAAGCAGGGGGAGGCGCAGAGAGAGAGGGAGACATAGAATCCAAAGTAGGTGCCAGGGTCCGAGGTGTCAGCACAGAGCCCGATGTGGGGCTCGAACCCACGAAGCATGAGATCACGACCTGAGCTGAAGTCGGATGCTTAACCGACTGGGCCACCCAGGCGCCCCTTGGACAAACTTTTGAATGTACAACAGAGTACTGTTAACCACGGCACGATGTTTGTGCAGCAGAGTCCAGAATTTCATCATTTTGCTTGACCCAAACTTTGTGCCCTCTGATCAGTCACCTTCTCCATCGGTGCGTGTCGCTGATGGGAGTTTGACAGCTTCGCACGCGTTTGTGGTAAAAGGTTTGCCCCTGAAGTGACATTACAGTTTAAAGCTCTGGGGACGTCTGTGAGCCTGCCCCTGGGTGCTGTCCGTGCCCGGGGCCGGAAGCTAGCGCGGGCAGCTGGTTTTGGCCCCGTGGCCGGGGGCTCGGCTCCGTGGCCGCCCCGGGACTGGCCGCAGGCCCTGAGTCGGATGTTGTCTCCTACGTGGCTGCCACTCAACGAGCCAAATGTGAGTCACCTACTATCACGCGCCTAGCGTGTCAGGCCCTGGGGTGACACGTAGGAATTCGGTCTGTGGCTTCACGGGGCCTGTCCATGGGCCTCTGACCTAAGATTCGGGGAGAGAGAGAGACAGAGGTGGTGATGACAGCTGGGCCGGGTTCAGAGCGTCGTTTGAACACTCGGGGCTGAGCAGTGGGGACAGATGCACGCGGCCGGGCACCCGGTGGGGTTCTCGGGGTCTCCTCGGCCTCCCAGGAGCAGAGTCCGGGGCCTGTGTCCACTGCTCTGTCTCTTGCAGCTGGTGAGGGAGAACACGGACCCGGCCGGTGGGGGTACAGATGTGGACCCGGAGAAGGAGGAGGTGAGTCCGCGCTGGCACCCCCAAGTCAGGACCCCGGCCTCGACGGGGACACTGTGCGGCAGCACTGCCCCCCGGGCTGGCCTGCAGGGGTCTGCCGCGCGCTCCGCAGAAGCCAGGGTTGAGGATTCCAGGTTTTCCTAGAAAAGGGGAGGCGGAGCCTCCCGGGCCTCCTTCCTGTCTCACTGCGAGCATGGCGAGCATGTCGGCGTGGCTCGTGCCCGATTTCCGAGGGTCCGAGTCCAGGCCCCGAGGGGCAGGCTGGCTGTTAACTGTTTGCACCGGTCCCCTGGCCGCGGCCGTCCCCCGGGACGGCGTGAGGGGATCCCGGGTGTGCTGCCCGCTTCCGCCCTGCTGTCCCTAGGTGGTCTCCGAGGCGGGGCCCGCGGAGTGCGGCCTGGGGAGGAAGACAGACGCCGCCCTCGAAGCGCTGCCCCCGCACGCCGGCGGCCCCGTAGAACAGGTAAGATGCGGGGCCCGGGTACGAAGGCAGCGTGTGGTCGCTCGGGCTCCGCACGGGGGTGGGGGCTCCCTTCAAACAGAACGAAGCAATCCGGTGCCCAAGTGGGAGCCCCACAGCCCGTGGCCCCGATCTCGGACCCTCCGAGTAGAACGGGCAGGTGGCGACGTCAGGGGTGCTGTGGCATCAAGGGCCGGGCTGGGCCGTGTCCCCGCCCGCCACGGCCCCGGCTCTCGGCCCTGGGCCCCGCCTCGCCTTCACGCGCTGTGTCCTCAGGTCTCGCCGCAGAGACCGCAGGGAAGCCGGGCGCCTGGTCAGCCGGCCAGCCCCGCACAGCCGTCCGATCACAGCTACGCCCTTTTGGACTTAGATGCCCTAAAAAAAAAACTCTTCCTGACTCTGAAGGAAAACGAGAAGCTCCGAAAACGCTTGAAGGCTCAGAGGCTGGTGATACAGAGGATGTCCAGCCGCCTCCGCGCCCACAGAGCGGGCCAGCTGGGACTCCAGGCCAGGCCGCCGCCAGAGCAGCAGAGCTGAGCCGCACGGCCAGGCTTTCCTGTCGGAGCCTCTCTGGGGGGTGGGACGGTGGCTCTGGGGCGCTGGCCGCGGACCTTTCAGTCCTGCCGCTGACAGGCAAAGGGACAGTGAGGCGTGCCGGGTCAAGCCCTGGTGAGGAGCCCGGGCCACCTCAGGGGAAGTTTAGTGGCATCAGCCCCAGGACAGGGCGGGACCGTGATCAAGAGGAGCTCGGTGCTCCCTTTCGACAAAAGCTTGGGCGGGGGTCTTCAGAGCCACTGCATGGGGCGCCCCCGCTGGGGAGGAAGTGCACTTCCTGGCGGGGCAGCTGGGCCCAGGCCCTGGGTCACCTGGAGGACGGCGGCTGGAGTGGCTGGGACCCGCCTCCGAGATCAGGCGTGCCTCCTTCCCCCCTTCCCCGGCCCAGTCTGCGCGAAAGACATAATAAAGCGTCTTCCTACGCCACCGGTTTTCCTTCTTTACTTGAAAACCAGTGTAGGAGTTCTGTTTCTCGAGAGCCTGGGTTACACCGTTTGCTTTCACAGTCGACCTGCATCAGTACCTGCTTTCGCTAACCTAAAGAGGTCGGAGGATTTCCACTCTCGCGAGAAAAGGCGAAAAGCAGAACTAGCAACCGGTGTTGGTTCTGCACCGGGCACTGCCGGGCCCCTTCCCTGGGAGCGAAGCTCGGCTTCGAGCCGCCGAGCGCCCAGCTGTCTGCGAGCCTCTGTGCTTCAGCTGGATTTTATGTGTCCGTTAGTAAGATGTGGCCTAAAGTATCTGAAAAACCTGGGATGGTTTTTTTGGACTTGGGAATGCTCAGAACGTTTCCATACAAACGAACAGTAATTGCCTCTTCGCTTTATGCCACTGTGGCTTAAGGAAGGTTTCACAGGAGGGCTCTGTTCAGAGCGGTGGGAAGAGATCTGGAGGTGCTAGCTGGAGGCCCTCTCTCCTCCCGTCCTTTGTGGCTGCTGAGAAGACTGACTTCGTGTTTCCTGTTGAAGCGCAGGAAGGGCAGGGCATGACCACCTTTGGCTATGAAAAAAGGGGACTTTAATAAAAACAAAACCAAACAAAAACAACAAACGGGAAAACGATCCTAAGTGATGTCCTGACTCCCGTTTCTTGGGCAAATGTCTAATGTGTAAAACCGAATCATGGCTTCAAGTTCGGCCTCACGGTTAAAAAAGTAGTTAAAGGGGTACCTGGGTGGCTCAGCAGGTTAAGCATCCAACTCTTGATTTTGGTTCAGGTCATGATCTCATGGTTTGTGGGATTTTTCCCTCTTGCTGTCTCTCTGCCCCTCCCCGGCTCTTTCTTTCAAAACAAAAAAAGAACTGTTAAAAATGTGGTTTAAATAGCAAAGAATAAAGGATGGAATGAGGCCTTGGGGGGGGGGGGGGACACACTTACTTTATTTTGCCCATCCCTGAAAATGAACACACAAGATGCATTAAAACACTATCCCGTTTTCAGGAAAGATTTATTACGATAAGAGAGCGCCTTCCGTACAGTCCGTTTCAAACAAAATTGCGAGAATCGGTGCCCTGACGAGCCACCTGCCGCGGAGGGAGCGCACGGCCGCGCCCCAAAGTCTGATGTTTCACACCACGCTTATTGCACGATTTACATTCAGAGCAGCAGCTCAGAGGAAAACTTTTTGAAAGAGAGATAAATATTACAGAATCGGACAACCTGAACTGTTTTTGAAAACTGGAGGAGAGGGGTGTTAGCGATTACTCCGGTACCGGCGCTGGGGAGTGAAGCCTGACTTCAGCGACAGCTGCAGGGGGCTGTCACGGCCACCACCGTCCAGGGGGGCCTCTTTGCTCAGCGGTGACTCTTGGTCAACACTCCGGGCTGTTCAGGAGCATCCCGGCTCCTAAGTATTCTGCATCCACAGAGCGAACCGAGTGAGGGAAGAGGACCCGGGGGGGGGGGGGGGGGCGGACACCGGACCCCCGTGAGGAGGTGTGGGAGCAGCAGCGCCACCTGCTGGCCGTTGAGTGAGAGAGCAAGCGAGGCCCGCCTGGCTCTCCCTGCGCTTGGGATTTGGCACGTACCTGGGCCAGGGTCTCCGCCCGGGCTCCCCCTCTCCTCCCGGCTCCGGGTGCTCCAGTGTGGGGGGCAAAGGCAGGTCAGGCTGAGCCGTGGGGGGCGGGGAGGGGGGGCAGGCTGAGAGGGATGGCGGATGGCTTAGCTCGCACCTGCCTCTCTCCACAAGGACACGGGTGGCTCCTGGGAGGAAGTGACCTGTGACAGGGATGGACCCTGGGACCGGGGGTTATACCGCTCTGTCCCAAGCCACCTGCCAGTGGAATGATTCGAGAAGTTCTGGGAGGGGGGAAAAAAGACACTAATTTCCAAAACCATTCGTTCTGAGATAAAAAGCAGATTTATAAACCCACACAATCCTCTCCAGATTCACTGAATAATATTTCAGCAGGAAAAAGTGGTTTTGGGGAAGTTGACCGGACAGACGCTCACTTGTTCTGGAGGCCTCTGCTCGTGAGACTCATGAGAACACCTTCCTTCTTTTCCATTTTGTTTTCCATGCTCTGTGGATTTTAGGAAAAGTAGTTCACAGTCCTATGTGTGAGGCAGGACATTTCATAAATACCTCAAGACAGACTGAGAGCTACTGGGTGGCTGCAGTCAGCCCTCGGGCTCAGGAACCTGGGGATGGGCTGGGGTGGGGGCCGAGGGCCCTTCCCTCCGGGGACATGATCCTTGGGAAAACAGCCACAGGCCACGCTGCGGCTCTGGTCCAGGAGGGGCTGCCCGAGTCCTACCTACAGCACCCATGAAAGCGGGGTGTCTGTGTGTCCCTCCACATAATTGATACGGTACCACCTTCTATAGGAGTAATATAAAATAAACACATCTGATGTCTGGGTTTTTTCCCTGCTTCCGAATTTGTAGACTCCCGGGAAAAGATTTTTTGCAGCCTCTTGGAAATCTGGTTTCTCAAGCAGTTTATCCGTCTGTATCAATCCTGTGAGCTGTAAGAGACAAACTGAATGTATCAAAAGGCAACTGTCCCCACGCCCTCCTTCCACTGGGGGCTCTGCCATCTGCTGCCCAGAGGCCGCCTGGCCTCCGGCTGAGCAGCGTGCAAGGCGCTCGACAATCAACCGGTTCCGGAGCACAGGAGCAGCCGGGTTTGCTTCCTACCCGGCCACCCAGGCTGCAGCTGCCAGGCCACGGCTCACTCAGACCCCCCCCCGGGGAAGGGCCGCCACCCCTCCGCCGGGCAGCGCGTCCCGGGCTCTGACAAGTCATCGCTCCCAGGCGGATAACAGAGGGAAGGTGGCTGTCATCCACTTCGATGTCCCGGTCCCCATCAGTGGCTGAGGGCCTCTCCCTGGCCCGCGCCGGCCAAGGCGCAGCTACTCACACTGCTTTGGTATCCTAAGCGCCTCGCCGTCTGGCGCCATGACCTGGTGCAGGACACCGCGGAACTGGTAAAGCACTTTGAGGTTCTTCTCCTCACCTACACACGGGTCATAGAACCCGGGCAGCCCGGCCTGTAACAGACACAGTCTCACTCGAGTTGACTTGAGGTGGTCATTTAAAACCCAGCACCGTGGCTGTCCGCTGCCACCTGAAGGCGCAGTGTGGACGGGCCTGGACTTTCCCTCAGGAGCCGCCCACGCAAGAGGCAAACTTCGGTGCCTGAGAATGTCAGAAAGCAGCCTACGTGGGCCTAGACTTTTCTCTCAACACAGACCCCCTGTCCCACGCTAGCTCTCCCGTCTGGCCGGAGCTAATTGCATTTTAATTTGCCTTTACTGTCCCCGCCCCGGGCTCCAGGGTGAGTGTCAAACGTGCCACAGGAGAGCTCACGCTCTTTATGGAAAAAGGCAAGGGGTACGCAGAATGTAGGCATGAAGGCAGGACGTAGATTTTGTTCACTGCTCTACCTGCCACACGGTAGGTGCTCCATAAACACTAATAGACACTTGCTGCGTGAACGAACGAAGGAATTAGCTCCAGTGTAAACAGAACCTGGGCGCGGGCCGCACCCCACACACCAAGTGCCAGCAGCACGAGGGATTCCGCTGCGATGGAACGGCCGCTCCGAGGCGCCAGGCTGTGCCCCCTCCCCAAAGGCCCTTCCTGACCGAACCCCGTGGGCGCGTGCTGTACCTTAGAGGCCTCCGTGAGGATGAGCTTCGAGTCCTTCACCAGGCACTGGAGGGGCACAGTCACGTCGATCACCTTCACCTTCTCACTCTTCTTGCTCTTGTCGTTGACGAATTTGCCGTACCAGGCGTTGACGATGATGAGCCCTGGGGACGGGCTCAGTCTGAGCAGAGGCAGGTCTCGGCCGGGCACCCCTCGCACAGCCGGACCGTGAGAACACGGTGCTCCTTCGAGACCCCCGGCGCCCACCCTGCCCCGAGAGAGGCCACGCCTTCTCACCCATTCTGGACTCCTCCGCCTCAATTATTCTTCGGACAGATTCTTGCATCAACCGGACCTGCAAAGAACAAGGATGGCCACCGTCAGGGCCCTCCCCAGGCCCTGCGTCCCTGTGCAGAGCTATAGTCCCGGGCCTGGCTGCGCTTCAGCCCCTCCTCTGCTCTCGGAGAACCCGACGGTACCCCTACACTTAGGCTGGGAGTCTCTGTGAGGTCACATAGAAACAATTCACGTACAGGGAAGAAAAGGAAGACAGTACCTTCCAGTTCTTAGAAAACCTTGTTATGCCTTTTGAGGGTAAGTGCATCTAATCTGTAGGACAGGGACTGAAGTTCCCGGCAGTGCGTCCCATAAGCAATACAGAGACTAAAATGACCAGTGAAGCCGTTGGCCCTGGAGGCCCACACGCAGAGCGTGAGGTGATCCCGGAGCCCGGGTCCCAGGCGTGCGGGCCGGCAAAGGGAGCGGGGCCCGCAGCGCGGTCTGCTCTGTGCGGCAGCGCGGCGACATCCGGAGGCCCCTGGAGCAGGAGGACTTCCGGCTCGTGTCTCTACGGCACTTACGGCAGCTTCCGCCTCTTGTTTCTTCTGGAGAATGTCAGTGGCTGTGCTTTCCCTTTGCTTTTCCAACTCCCTCAAGTGAGAAAAACACAAGGCACATGTTAGTGTGGAGGGAGGCAGGAGAGCCCCTGGCTGGCCCGGCGCCCAGCGAACAGTCGGAGATCTTCCTGCACGCCTCGTTCCGGAGCCTTAGAAAATATTTCCAAGACAGTCTCAGGCAAGTCTGTTCATTTTAGGCCTCTGCAGCTTCCCCTTCTTTCGTCCCCGGACGGCTCTGCCCGCCCTCCGCACCGGAGCGCCCGGGAAGCCCACTGCTGTGTGAAGAGGCCCCCACCCGACAAGAATCTCAGCACAGTGAGCGGCCAGAGAGGCGAGGGCCACGGAGGATGCCGCCTTCTGGACTGGTACGTAACGCTCTGGGCGGGACAATACTTACTGCTTTGGATACAAAATATACTTTCTTGCAGCAAAGCACAGGGACTCGGGGTAGCATATACCCGTCCCCTCAGAAGACTGGACCCCACACGATCTTTGCTCGAGGAGCCTCCTGGGGAATCAGGGCCCCGAACTCCAGTGATTCAAACACTAAGAGGGGCCCCACAGAGGAGAATCTCTAAGCTCAATGACTTACTACCTCAGACTGGTGTAAGTTACGAGTCTACACCACCTCTCAGACTGGGTGTAATGTTCCAGTGGGTTATCTACAAGCAACTGCAAAACAGATGAACGTTTCTGTAACTTCAGAGACTCTGGTCAACGCGCGCCTATATGTAAGAACGCAAACCCACTCCTCCTGAACTCAGCGCCACGAAAAGATGGGGACCAGTGGCTCTGTCTCCTGTGCTGGTGGTGCACAGTCTGCACAATTTTGTAAACCAGTTTCCCTTCCCGGAAGTAGGAAGGAGGAGCGATGGGCCCGCGGCAGCAGTACCGCCGTGAGAAGAGCCTGCACTGAGCACTTACTACGGACCGGACACCATGCTGGGCCTTTCCTTTACACGGATTAGTTAATGGAATTTTCCTAACAACCCTCTGAGTAGGTTCTAGTGTCATCATCTCCGTCTAAAAGGCAGGAAAACCGAAGCACAGAGCTGTCTACGGACGTGCCCGTGACATGCTCTGAACTCACTTCTCTTTTTGAGCCCTGAGGTACGGCTTGATGACCAGGCGGTGAAGAGCGAAGTAGACCACGAGTGGCCCCACGGTGGCATAGAACACGGCGCTGGGAAGGAGCTGGTCCGTCAAATGAATAGGGAAGAAGTAAGTCTGA